ACGCTCCAGCCCCTCAATGTCTCTCTTGTCTGAGGGCCCAGAACTGCCCCAGCACTGGAGGTGCCTCAGCAGTGCAGAGTCCAAGCTACAGCTGAGCAGCTGAACAGGAATATGTGTCCTGATATCCTGAGCATTGCTGAAAAGATTGTCCCTTCCCTTGTGCTTCCTGTGCCAGGTAACCCCAGCCGCTGTTTTACTGTGTTGGGCACCTCACAAACAGCCCAGAAGTTTAGAGTGTGTCCACCTCTAGCAGATGTGAGCTCAACAAAAATCAGAGCAAGAGCTGTACTGGGGCTCCTTTAATCTGTAAACCTAGGCAGTCAATTTATAAAGTGTTTGTAATTAATTATTTTGAGTTATTTAGGATATTATTACACAAAGAAGTGCATTAGACAATAACATGGAAAATAAAGGGTACAGTAAATTAGACTGCAGGCTGCACTGGGCTTCCAGCTTTGTATCAGCCCTGTATTTAAACACCAGGCCTACTGAAAAAAAATGCAAAAACCAAAAGAGGCAGACAATGCAAGTGAAACTACACGTTTATGCTTCCTGGAATGCTGTTCCAGTACTTCTACTAGCTGCAGCTAAACCCTGAAATGAGTAATCTACATCACAAAACTTACCTCAGTGAGGCACTTCACTGGAAGCTCTGGCACGAGATTTGTGTTATAACTCTTCTGTTCCTATTCTTTTCCAAGAATAGGTCAATAATCCTGTTGTGTTGTGAATAGCAAAAAAAAAAAAAAAAAAAGAAATCATGTGAAAGCAAAGGAACTGCCTGAGACTGGGCAGGAGTGGAGGAGATCATCTGGGATGCAAAGAAGTGCACAAAGCCTTGTTTAAGGAGAAGAAGTAGATAGAAATTAAGGAAATCCTCACGTGAGAATAGTATATAGCAAGTGCATTTAAGTGAGAAAATTCCCATATTTTTGTTACTCACTGAAAACAAGATTTAAAAAGGTATCTGATGATGGCAGGTGGACATCTGCCAGAATTTTCTAGACCAAGTAGCAGCTTAATTTACGCTGCAGACTTTTAGAAAATTGCAGAGTTGGCATCTTTAGGGACAAAAGTACTTCTGTAAATCCAGTCCTAAGACCCTCACACTTAAAACCACCTGGCTTTATTTAAATACTGTTGAGGAAGGATCAATAAATAAATAAATATTTGAAAAACCATAATTCAAATCAACTAATTTCAAGTATTTTTTTCTTAATGGGAAGGTCTAAATGTGACGTGGTGCCTTCCATGAGTTGGTTTGCACAGGTAGCTGGATGGCAAGAAGTTAACTGAAATTCATGTTTAAAAAAACCCCTGCAAGTGTATGCAAAAAAATTCTTAAATAAAATTTTATGCTGCAGGTTATTTTGATGGGCCTGATTCTGAATGGAAATGAAATTCTAGCAGGTTAAGTGTAATGTGAACAGCTGCTAAGGATGTCTAAACTGATAATAAATTCACTGCAAAGTGATCTTTATTGAGATGCGTTCACAGAACACAGTTAAGTTCTGATGTAATGATATTAACGTAATATGCTGTTATTACCCAGATGTAGCAATCATGGCTCATCTGGGATTCTGGGGAGCTGTTGGACTTGCTGCTGAAGTTCAGTCCTCAGAGTCATTCCTTCTTGATCTCTGTACAATGTAGAACATTATTGCTGAAAGAACAGTCCTTTCAGAGGCTGCAGGTGAAGGAAATGAAGAGAAATTTAATTTACACTTAGGTTAACTAAATCTCCTTTAGTGAGAACTAATTCTGTTTCATTAAACTTCCAAGGACATAAAAGAAGGGATTATCTTCCTTGTGAGGTTTTCTGATTGTTAGAACATGCTCACTGAACCAAATCATATTTTGGTTTTATCAGATTGCCATTATTTTTGTGTTTCAGTGAACCTGACTGCAGTAATTTAATTGAAATGGTCTGGAAGGCCATGTTTGCCACAGTGACTCTCTTGCTTTAGGAATGCTTTTAGGTGATAGTGCTGCATTCTTCTTTCACTGTTGCTTTAGAATCACGGACTAGTTTGGGTTGGAAGGGACCTTAATTATCATGTGGTCCAATTCCCTTGCCATGGGCAGGGACACAGATTGCTCCACGACCCATCCAGCCTGGCCTTGGACACTGCCAGAGGTGGGGCATTGAAACATAAACTATCTGAAACATTGTGAATAGATGTATTTATACACAGGCAGATGTAGCGATTCTCGTTCTTGGCGTGGGGATTGTTTTACAGCTCCTTTTCTGTGCACACAGCGCTTTACACCTGCCCTGTTGATCCTGCACAACCCTTATTGCACCACCTTCATTCCGATCAAGCACTGTGTGGACGTGAGGGCCAACCCCATGCCAGGATTCTTGCGGTAAGGTGGCAATGTTTGCACAGTGGTCACACCCCACCTGTGCTGTTTGCATGCACAGCCTGGTTACGGGTACGTGTAAGAGCCCGGATGGATGTTGGGAATCACACACCATGTGGAATGTGGGACTCTGCTCAGGGCTATATTGGGAAGGGCTTAATTTCTAGGGAACGAACAGCTACCTTTGGAACCAGCCACTGGTGGCACAAAAAGCATCTCAGAGACGGAGGTTACCAGAGGCAGAAGCAGTGACTTAAAGCAGTGTGAGGGCAAGGCTATGCCTGGTAATTCATCCTTCCATCTGTCCCACCAGCTCTTAGTCCCACTTTCCAGAGCTATCTTGTGTCCCTCTTACTGAAAAGGTGGGATGCAGAGCAGAGAATCACAGAATGAATCCCAGACTGGCTTGGGTTGGAAGGAACCTTAAAGACCATCTTGTTCCACCCCCCCTGCCATGGGCCACCCCGTGACTCACTCAGGAGCTGGACCTGCAGCCTGCATGGGCATGGAAGGCGAGGCAGAGGCTGTGGCACTGGACTGCAATGCAAGGAAGGACCTTTCCACGAGGGGAGGTGGTTAGTGGGACAAATCCTGCACTCAAATCCAGGCCAGGCAGGTCTGCTGCTGCTGCTGCTGCTGCTGCTG